TGGGAATGTTGTGTAGGACCAAATTATAAAGAAGAAGGAATTGAATGAAAAAAATGGTCTTTTAATAAGAAATAATAAAAAATTTTGGATGGGTTTATATTAACCCACGTGGATTTAAGAGGAAAACACACAAAGTTCCAGAGTTCTCCTCTTCTTCATCTCCTTTCATACGTGAGAGCCAAGCCAAAGGTGAAATTTCTTGTTAGTTAATTTCTTGCTGAATTTAAGGTCAGTTTATGTTTATTATATGATAATTAAGCTTAAGGAAAGCTTAATTTGTCTTAAAACCACAAGATGAAAGGTATAGAAAGAATTAAAGAAAGGAAGTAAATAAGTGAAATTTTGATAGAAAGTTAGCAATTAGATTTTCAGACCAAATTTGACTTGTCATCAACATAATTAAGGGATATGAAGTGTTAGAATTAGATTTAGAACATGTTAAAATTTGAGTGTGATTCTTGAATGATATGTGGAGGATTGGATTTTGAAGTTAAAGACGTATTGAATGAGTATTAATTGGTTTAAGTAGGTGTATGTAAGTTAAGGATATGAAAAGGGTTAAAATATGGCACAGTTTAGCAAAGATATTCAAAGGGTACCGGTACATAGCCAGTGTATCGATACCCCCCTTAAAATGAAAACTTCAAATGTAATTTGTGTACCGATACATAGGTAGTGTATCGATACACACGTTAAGGGATGTATCGATACCCTATAGAGTGTACCGATACCTACCTTAAATAAGAACTGGAAGTAGCTTTTCTTTTAGTTTAAGGAATTAAGGGTATAATTATAGTAATTGGAAATGTGTGACTGTGTAGATATTGAGTACAAGCAAGTTTCGGATCGATCACCGAATTAGGATTCGATTCAAAGAGGTGGTTTTGGAAACTAAGTGAGGCCAAGGTTAGTGCATACTATAGATATAGTTCAAAGGAATTATGACTTTTGATAAGTCTATTCCTATGTTAGTACTTATAGCATAGTAATTTATGAACATGCATACATGATGATTATTATAAATATATGTATATGTTATATATGTTTATAGTATTTGATAATGGTACATGATTCATATGAATAGATGCAAATATACATGTTATATGATATGTGATCGATAATTATATGTACATGTGCTATGTGATAAAAGGAAAGACATATGTGAATACAGGAGAAATGATATGAATATATAAATATGTGAAGAATAACAATAATGCCCATGTTATGTGATATGAGAGCTAGGGTATAGTTGGCATGCCAAGAGTCAAGGGTTACGTAGGTCCTTTGGGACATTTCAAAGTGATCATTCGGGACAAATTCATATGCACCTAGTGGGACCCTATACGAGCTGTGGTGACAGCACGAGTGCACAACCTCAATGTACTCCCATACCTTAAGTTCTCATAATATGCATGGGCTTATTAACAATATAAAGAGTATGTATATCTTTTATATGATATCATTTTAATATTGGTCATTATTAATCATATGTAATGTAAGACAATCATGACATGATAGGGATGATCTGAGTTGAATAGTTTCATTGCATGTTTACATTTATAAGAAATGTGTTATGATAATTTTATGCCTCACTAAGTCTATGACTTAGCATATAAGCGTTTTTACACGTAGGTTCAGAGGAGCAGGAGGATCAAGATTAGGATTTACAGAGCAACATAGTTTTACTCGAAGATCAGATCAGAAATACTTTATAAAGTATGTAATTGTGTAATGGAAATATTGATATGTACACAAAGTTGTTAAGTATATGAGCTCTGATCAGTTTTTGTAATATGTCGAAGGTTTTATGTAACTTATTAACTTATTTTAATGAAAGTATAAAACTTTCATGATTTTATATGATTTAAAGGCTTTGAATAGTTATTGTGACACCTCAGATTCGTATCCGGGTCAGGTACGAGTTGGGGGTTTTACAATAAGAGTAATCGATGATTGATCTATTTCCCTGCTTGGTAGATGAAATCTTGCTCTTGATTTCATAAATTTGGGCATCATCTTTAACCTTTAAGTAAGTTTGTTTTACAACCTCCCATATATGTTGGTCAGTATTGAGAAACATGCAAGCATCACTGATCTCTGGAGCCATTTGATGAGTCAATCGATAAGATGAAATAGCCAAGAGGGGGTGAATTGGCAATTAAATTTTTTTTGGAAGCTTGAAAGAAAAATTAAAAAAAATTACACATCGATTTAGAGTGGTTCGACTTTCTCAACCAAAGTCTACATCCACTACCTTAGCTATCCACACTAAGGATTTCCAAAAATTCACTAATTTGTATCTACCTTTGAGGACAAGGAGTAACCTTACAACTCCATCAAGAATTATACCCCAAATTCTTGAGACACTCTCTCAAAGTGAAAATTAAATTTGCAAACTTATAAGAAACCTCACAAGGAAAAATGTTTGCACAATTCAAGAACAAATAAGAACACTTAAGAAATGAATACAAGTACAAGTAGTGTTCTTAGAAAGCAAAATGAATATTGATGAACGTTGGCTTGATTTTGCTCAAACTTGATGTTTAAGGCTTTCTCTTTTGTATCTCTTGTTTTTTTTTTCTTAATCACCAATGACTTGAAACCTTGTTTATACACTCCTTTGATCAATTATGAATGTTGAAGATGTTGTGGGAGTCAATAGAGCCGCTGGGGGTAATGTTTTCCACTCAAATTGCTACTAGGAGTGTTATGGTATCGGTACCACACTTAATGGTATCAATACTACCTGCATAAAATTCAAATATTTTGATCGTTGAAAAGAAACAGTATCAATACCGTCCAAGGAGTATCGATATTACTATATAGTAGTATCGATACCAGAAAATGGTATCGGTACCATTTTGAGATTCTGGAAAATATTAGAGTCAAAACCAAAGGAGCAGTATCGGTACTACAACCATAGTATCGGTACTACTATATTGCTTGATATCATTACCGTGCATGGTATCGGTATCATTTTGGCATTCTGTTGGCATAATATCGATACTGCTGAGGCAATATCGATACTATCATATTAAAATTAGTTTTGACTCGATTAAAGTTCGAAACACTTAGTAAAAATTATTTCAAAAATATTTCAAGTATAAATCTCAATTTTTCATTAAGTAATGAGTAAAAATTGACGTTTTAAAACTTTGAGTAATAATTGTATATATTCGAATAATTGAATCGAATATAATCTTAAAATTTATAAAAATTAATTAACAAAATTGTTTGGTAATCAAAATATCAAAATGTTTTCAACAATCTCCCCCTTTTTGATATAACAAAACATTTTAGAAATTTTAAGTTTTCTTTGAAAATTTACTTTGAAAAATTACTCCCCCTTTTCTCCCCTTTTTGTTAAATAAAAAAGACTCATATAGTATAAACAAGATATGTAATATTGCTGTGAAGATCAATATAGCCAAGAGAGGTTAGTCAACATTAATAATATTCAATATGTATTTGGGCATGGTCATAAATATACTATGATGCAAAATGATGAATAAGAAATACAAAGTCTTATAAATAAAATCAATAATCCAAAATATAAATTCAAGATGCAAATGATGAATAAGAAATACAAAGTCTTATAAATAAAATCAATAATCCAAAAATATAAATATTCAACCAAATCCAAAGTATCAAAATATCAAATAACATTTAAAGTTCACTACAAGAAATAAACCTAAGAATAACTAGCAAAGAGTAGTAAGCTCAAACATCCGATGGTGGATTGGGATCGAATCGATGTGCTCTAAATGGTGCAACATCTATAGTAAGCGTGTCAAGCCTATCATCCACTAAATTGAATCTATCATTTATTGCGTTGAATATAGCTCGAGTATCTCGTTGAAGCTCTAACAGCTGAGATCACATAGCAGTAAAATAGGATTCCATGGATATGAACCTTAAATCCAATGTCTCATTCAACGATTGAAAGTAAGGAGGCATTGCACTACTTCTGCTAGTAGGTTCGTCATCGGAACACGATTTACATGATCATTGACATCCTGTAAAATGTTGTCAATTTAAGGAGCTGGAGCCGAAGTCGGAGCTACTTGTGAAGAACTTGCACCAGGAGTCTTCTTGGTTGATCATGTCCAAGTTGTGTTGTCCCCAGTCCATTAGGATTTTCTATGAGAGGTAAAGTCTATTTTGTGTACTAATAGGGATGATAACATCTAGGTCCACTTTAAGACTGGCTTTGATGAAAATATTACTAAGTAGACAATCATAAACTAAAGCTTTGATTCTTTTAGAGGGTATGTTATTGACGATTTCTACTAGATCTCCAAAGATAATTTGAGGAAGATTTATTCGTTTATTGTTTTGAAGCAATGTATCCACCATATATCAATACTACAGAAAGTGGAGTATTTACCTCCGGATGGTTCAAACCACCAAGAGATTATTAAGTGTAGGAATCACTCATGGTAATCTAGCACACTAGCACCTTTTCCTACTTGATATGGTGAAGACACAAAATCTCGCTCGTTATCTATTCCTACATTTTCCAAATAAAAAGCACGGGCTATAGAATCCGAATCAATGGTGATGTATTCACCCAAGAGATAGGAACTTATACTTTCGGTTTGAGTACGAGATTCATTTTGGACACAAACCACATTAGAGTAGAAAATACGGACAAGTTGTTGGTAGATAATGGGTTTGACTTTAAAAGTGTTGTCGATTTTCCAAGCTTGTAAAATTGGAAGATATTTGAAATTCATTTGTTGTATCGCTTTAAGCGAAGGAAGACGCTCATCCCTATTAGAATAAGACTCAAAGTGATTAACGTACCTAGAATAAGAGGTTTTTACGACTAGGTTTGTTGAAACATGAGTTTAGGATAGTTATATCGGTTGGATTGGGAGGATGATTTGGAGGTGGGTTTGGAGGTTGATTGGTAAGACTAGAAGATGACCTAGGGCGTTTAGACATGTTACTAAAATCGGAATATTTTTCCTGCAAATAAACAACATATGTATGCAAACAATTAATCTCAAAACTCAATATGAGTCCTCAATTCAAGGTAACCTAGAATCTATGACCGTTGGGCTTGATAGTATCGATACTACTGTTCATGGTATCTATACTATTAATGCAGTATCGGTACCTATTTTGCATTCTGGAATTTTTTAGCATCGGTATTGTTCATGCAGTATTGGTACTATTTATACATTACGTTACTATTCATAAAAATATTTGTGCTCAATTCCAAATTAAATGGACTTTGAATTATTTTTGAAAACTTTGAATTAATTCAATTCAAGTCCAAAAACATTTTGCCATAAATTGTTATATCAAAACTTAGTTCAACAATCTCACCCTTTTTGATTCCAAATTAAATGGACTTTGAATTATTTTTGAAAACTTTGAATAAATTCAATTCAAGTCCGAAAAAAATTTTGCCATAAATTGTTATATCAAAACATAGTTAAACAATCTCCCCCATTTTGATATAACAAAACATTTGAAAAATTGTTTTTGGCAAAACTTCCCCTTAATAAAATATTTAATGAAAAAGATACCAAAAGTTGGAAAATATATGAAAATGTTCAGCTCCCCCTTTTTTAATTAAGAAATTAAAATTTTCAAACCCATACTTCTCCCCCTTTTTATTATAAAAAATAATTCAATTTTAAAGATAAAAAATAACATTGGAGAGTAAGTGGTAAATTTGACATTAAAAGTATTTGAAAAATCAAAACTTCCCCTCAAAAAGTGCATTCCAAAAAAAAATTAGCTTTAAAATCTTGACACTTAAACAAAATTGAATTTCATCAAAAATTAACAAACATATTAGTAGCACATGAAATTCAATATATCCAAGTCTAAAATACTTTATGCAATACTAATTGTTGAAATTAAGTACATGTGCATAAAGCTTTGAAAAATGGTATGCATTTGAAGAATTTGATATCAATTGTTAGAGAGATATATTTTGCTTTTAAAAACACATGCATAAGCATTTAAATTTAGTCAAAAACTTAAAAATTTTTAAAATCGAAATATTTTGAAAATTTGATATCAATTGTTAGAGAGATATCTTTCGCATTTAAAATCAATTTTGACCAAAAATTCATTATGATGAACTAAAAATTGTGAAAAATCATTTAAACTTTAAAATGTTCATCATAACATCTTTTTAACATACATGAGATGAAAAACAATACATAATCATTCAAAATCAAAACTCATGCATGCATAAACTAAAATGAACAACCAAATAATGAAAATTAAAAGCATTAAGCTTAGAGGTTACACATTCCTTTTTCAAGTGTGGCTAGAGCATTTGAATATCTTCACTTTCATCACCATTGCTCCCACACACCTACAAGAGACATTCATTTCAATTTTGGTATCAAAATTGCTTTGGGTCCTTGGATGTTAGTTTCAATGCCCTTGTTCCCTTAGGAACCCATACTTGTCTAATTTTAAAAGATTTTCTTTTCTTTATTGGACAAATTTGTTCTAAATGACTGTGAAAATGACAATGTGAGCATTTTTTGCTATTTTTAAACGTAATGAGTTGTTTTTAGAAATTAATTTTTTTTCTTTTGTTAAGCTTTCAAGTTTAACTTTTAAATTAAAATTTTCTTTTTCAAAATCATTGATTTTGATTTTTGAAAGCTCTAAATCATTTTCAAAACTTCATTTTGTTTTTTAAAATCAATTTTTGCTTTCAAAATCAAATCTTTTTCAACTTTAAGTTTTGAAATTAATTTCTTATATTTGGAATTCATGGTCTCAAATTCTAAATACATCTCATTATAAGCATCTTCTAACTCATCAAAAGAATGTGAATTTAATTCACTTGAGTTAGAAGATACTTGGAAATTTTCTTCGATGGCCATGAGGCATAGGTTGGATACTTCACTTCATCATTAGAGTCATCTTCATCACTCCAAGCTGCCACAAATGGCTTTTTCTTAGATGATCTCTTCTTCTTTAGGAGGGGACATTCATACTCTACATGCCCTGTTCTTTGACAATTGAAGCATACCATGGGACTCTTCTTCTTGGTTGATTCATTATTCACTTCATTGGAATACATGAATCTCTTGAACTTTTTGAAGAGCTTGGCCATCTCTTCTTCTTCATCATTATCTTCATCCACCTCTTCACTTGAATCTTGATAGCTCTTATTGATGGATTTGAAGGTAACTCCTACCTCCATTTTTTTCATGTTTTGCTTCTCTTCATCTTTTTCCTCTTCCTTCACCATCAACTCATGAGTGAGTAGAGAACCAATAAGCTCGTCTAGAGTGAGATACTTTAGATCTTTATCTTTGATAATCGCCATCTTCTTCGATTTCCAAGACCTTAGAAGAGAGTAGATTATTTTCCTCACAAGCTTCTCATTAGGGATTACTTCTCCAAATCCCTTAAGACCGTTGAACAATCACGAAAAGTCTATCTGTCATATCTTTAATGTATTTATCGGATTTCATCTTGAAGTTCTCGTAGCTATGGTTGAGAAGACTTATCTTTGTTTCTCTCACTTCATCGGTTTCTTTATGAGTGACTTGGAGCTTATCCCATATTTCCTTGGCATTAGAACAAGAGGAGACTCTTCCATATTCATCCGGGCCTAATGCACAAAAGAGAATGTGCATAGCCTTAGCATTGAGTTGGAACTTCTTTTTTCTACATCACTCTAATCGTCCATCTCACCGGTTGGAATGGTGTATCCTTTCATGATAGAGTTCCAAGCTCTTAGATCATTTGCTTGAATAACGAGCATCATCCTATTCTTCCAATAGGCATAATTTGTTTCATTAAAGTAGGGTGGCTTGTTGACCGGATTGTGAATCTTCAATGTAATAGGCACAGGAGGTTGAAGCCATCTCTTTGTCGGTTGTGTCGGGAATCGGTAAAAATTCTTCTAGGATCATCTCGTGGTTGTTAAACCTTCTAATGAGTCAAGCTCTAATACCAATTATTGAGTCAATTGATATGATTAAATAACCAAGAGGGGGTGAATTGGAAATTAAAATTTTGTGGAAGCTTGAAAGACAAATTAAAATAAATTGCACAACGATTTAGAGTGGTTCGACTTTCTCAACCAAAGTCTACGTCAACTACCTTAGCTATCCACCTAAGGATTTCTATAAATTCACTAATTTGTATATACCTTTGAGGACAAGGCGTAAACGTACAACTCCCTCAAGAATTATACCCTAAATTCTTGAGACACTCTCTCAAAGAGAAAATTACAAATTTGCAAACTTATAAGAAACCTCACAAGGAAAAATGTTTGCATAATTCAAGAACAAATAAGAACACTTGAGAAATGAATACAAGTAAGCACAAGTAGTGTTCTTAGAAAGCAACTCCTTTGATCAATTCTGAACGTTGTAGATGTTGTGGGAGTCAATAGAGCCGTTGGGGTAATGTTTTCCACTCAAATTGCTGCTAGGAGCGTCGTGGTATCGGTATCACACTCAATACCGTTGAAAAGCAACGATATCGATACCGTCCAAGAAGTATCGATACTACTATATAGTAGTATCGATACCAGATAATGGTATCGATGCCATTTTGAGATTCTGGAAAATATTAGAGTCAAAACCAAATGAGCAGTATCAGTACTACAACCATAGTATCTGTACTACTATATTGCTTGGTATCGATACCGTGCATGGTATTAGTACCATTTTGGCATTCTGTTGGCGTAGTATCGATACTGCCATATTAAAATTGAGTCTTTGACTTGATTAAAGTTCGAAACACTTAATAAAAATTATTTCAAAAATATTTCCAGTATAGATCTCAATTTTTCATTAAGTAATGAGTACAAATTGACGTTTTAAAACTTTGAGTAATAATTGTATATATTCGAATAATTAAATCGAATATAATCTTAAAATTTATAAAAACTAATTAACAAAATAGTGGTATATCAAAATATCAAAATGTTTTCAACACCATTGAATTCCATAATCAACACATGACTAATGAATCTTGTTTCTCCCTAGTAGTCCAATTCCAAAAGATGATTAACTTACCTCTACCTTTAAATGTAGTTTTTTTTTTTTTTTTCCATTCAACCTATAGGAAGCTTGTATATTTTGTAAATCACCCATCGGGTTAGAATAACTTCCTTCACTCATTGTGCCTCCCTGAACAGTCTCAGAACTGCTAGTATCGACCACCTCAACCATGTTTTTGTTGGGCTAACAATACCACACTTAAGGGGAGAGTTTAGGGAAAAGAAAAGGTTGCTAAACTGAGATTTATAGGACCCAGAAATAAGCTTAAAACAACTCGTATATCATGTTAAAAGTCGAGTAATTCACTGTAAAATTTATTTTTATTCCGTAGGATTTGTTACATATTTATACACAGACTATAATCTTTGGAAACTCTTAAACTAGGAAAGTAACTAATCTTAAACTAGGAAAGTAACTAATTCTAGGAAAAGATATAATCTCTTAAAATTAGAGATTGTAACTACTAAAAGAATATTCACATAATCTTACATAATTTAAAAATCTGTTTTCTGACACTTCCCATCTTTTGGGTGCTTATGTGCTCAAATGCCCTACACAGCTAGCAGTAGAGAAGATTGATTAACCCACTTTTAGACCTTCAACCTTTGAAAAAAATTACCTTAGCTGATTAAAAAGTGGTTCTTCCACAATTTCATCAAAAAGATGAATCAAAGCCTTCAATTTTACTGCTGCCTTCTCTTCTTCTGGCTCAATTTGGAAATAAAGCTTCAATTCAAGGCCAATGATGTGATCAATAATAGCATAAAGCATTAATAAGAAAAAAAATATAAACTAATAATTCGTAGAGAATCTGATCATCATGTACCTCAAGAACTAAGTTCGTTTCGGACTTATTCTTTACACTGACATCTCTCACGAAGTTGGCACCAGAGGGAAAACATATCACGTGCTCTTTATGCTTCATTGTGACTGGCATCGGTTGTACAAAAAAGTTGCTTTTGAAGATGTTTGAAAAGTCAAGTACTTCCTTTTCTAATAAATTGCAATGGAAAAGGCCCTCAATATACATCTGTCCAACATATGCAGTTAGAATTTAGAGAAACTATCAGGCAATGAACCAACAATTCAATTAATCATTTCACGTCCCTATAAACAGTAAAATGAAATATCAAGAAGTGCCAAAACGAGCTTCTGGAAACTGTCATTCTAATTTTAAAATAAATGCTTCGATGGAGGGAGACCTAATTCTATATGTACATTTTTCTTTGAAATGTTTTGGTTCCACTCATAATAAACATTTCAAGCTTCAAATCGGAAATTAACTCTTCCCAAGGACAACCATTTCCCTGTTTCATGAGTGATATAACTTATAAGCCTAAGCCACAAAATGCATTCTGAAAGGAAGTTCACAATACTTCCCCCAATCTTGTGATGACCAACTACAAGGTTTTGAGGGGGGAAAAAAACCCCTACAAGGTTCACACAAATCAAAAGCAAATTTAAACTGATGGAAAACAATCACATGAAGAATTTGGCCCAACCCAAACATCATGTGTTGGTGTTACCTGGGAACGAAGCTCAGGAATAAAGGCCATTAAATCAGACAGAAATGTCATTTAGAAAACAAAGCTTTTCATCAACGTCATAAAAACTCTTGCATAAAATCTGTAGCCTCAAGAAGGATGAATGGCTCAAAGGCTTCATGTTGGAGTTTCTTAGAGTTCTCTCCATATTCTCCTTAATTACCTGTCAGATGCAGTGTCAAATTGCAAACTCAAGGAAAGCCATAAGAACCAATTCATTCTTGGTCTGTGTTGATTGGAGGTAAGCACATACTAGAATTAATTGATAAAGTTTTATACTAGATTTTTAAAGTACCAATCTTAATAAAAACTGCAGCTGCAATTTCCTTGTTCTTTCCCCAAAGGTCGATAGCTATGTTAAATGCATCAAACACATCACAATTTGAGGAAATGTGTGTACCTTAAAACGGTCATTAGTAGGCAAAAAAGAGTTTGCGATTGCCAAAATTTTTCCCAGGAGAACAGGAAGTTTATCGTTGAATCCATAAAGCTTGAGCTCTAACTTGTCAGTGTACATACGGTCATTAGTAGGCAAAAAAGAGTTTGCGATTGCCAAAATTTTTCCCAGGAGAACAGGAAGTTTATCGTTGAATCCATAAAGCTTGAGCTCTAACTTGTCAGTGTACATTGCCTCGGAAGTTTCTAGCTTGGCAATACTGGCCTGGAAACAAAATTCTAATCACCTTTAGATTTCAACAAAAAATGCAAGAACCAATACTGGCCTGGAAACAAAATTCTAATCACCTTTAGATTTCAACAAAAAATGCAAGAACAAACCAAAGAAACATATGGCAAAAAAAAAAAAGATTTAAACGAATGATGACTATGTTTCAAAAACTAGAAAAATACAGGGGCCAAAGAAATGTTTAAGGAGAGATTATTTTCCAGCAACTCATAGACTGTTTAAAACATAAATGTAAAGGGCTCAGCTTTATTATTGCCTGAAATTCAAAGTTCCTAAAACACATGTATTTTTTTGTTATCGCAATTTTCTATTGAACAAAAATATAATCAAATTTCCTGTTTCAGAAATCAAATGGACTGATCATGAACCTGATATATAATTTCATTTAGCTCATCCTTGAGGAGGTGAATATAAAGTTCAGTCAACAAACAACTCTTCAAATTAAGATATGCCCCTTTCAGATTAATCCGAAAATATGTATTTGCCAGAGGAACTTTGAAAGTACTATATGTAGAAACAGAGTTTTTCGGTTATGGTAAATAGAGTTTACAGGTTCTGGTAAATAGGGTTTTTGATTCTGAAATTATTTTTATTCAAAGAACAATTGCATATTAGTAAATAGAGTTTACAGGTTCTGGTAAATAGGGTTTTTGATTCTGAAATTATTTTTATTCAAAGAACAATTGCATATTACACAAGAGGATACATGGGATTTTATATACATGAATTAGAGACCTAGATAAGATATGAGTCATATTTTCTACAAATTAGGAGATGGTTTTAGAGATAAGTTAGGATTCAGAGTTTAACTTAAACACTACTTACACTCCCCCTCAAGCTGTGGAATAAATATTGTGAAGACCCAACTTGGATGTAATTTCGTCAAAGGTAATTCTTGGAAGTGCCTTGATCAATACATATGCTAGCTGGTTTTGTGAAGGGACGTAGTTTAGTTTCACAGTTCCGCCATTTACTTTTTCTGCAATAAAGTGTCTGTCGATCTCCACATGTTTTGTTCTATCGTGGTGCACCGGATTCTTTGCAATGCTTATCTCAGATTTGTTGTCACTCTGAAGTTCAAAATTATTTTCGCACATCTCTAGTTCAATTAAGAGTCTTTGTATCCAAATTCCTTCACACATTCCAAGTGCTATCGCCCTATATTTTGCTTCTGCACTGCTTATGGGGACTACTGATTGTTTCTTGCTTCTCCATGTCACTAGGTTTCCCCACAAAATGAGCAGTATCCCATGGTTGACCTTCTATCTGTTAATTCTCCAGCCCAGCTTGAATCTGAGAAGATTTTAACTGTTATGTCTTCATATTTTTTTGAAAATCAACCCATGTCATGGTGTCACTTTTCGATTAACTGCCTCCAGATGTTCTTCTCTTGAATCATTCATGTATTGACTAATAATGCTAACAGGAAAAGCAATGTCATGTCTAGTTAAAGATAGGTAAATGAGTTTACCAACTAGCCTCTGATAATGTTCCTTGTTTACCGGGTTTCCATCTTTATTCAATTTCAAGTTAACTTCCATAGAAGTTTTTGAGGGCTTACAATTAGTTACTCCAGTTTCAGAAAGTAGGTCTAGAATATACTTTCTTTAATTTATGACAATTCCTTCTCGTGATCTCGCTACCTCCATGCCTAGGAAATATCACAGAGTTCCTAAATCTTTGGTTTCAAACTCTTTTGCTAGTAATGTCTTCAACTTCTCGATTTTTACTAAGTCATCACCCGTGATAATGATATCATCAATGTAGACAATCAAGATTGACTTCTTCTTATCATGAGCAGTGTTTACAAACAGAGTTTGATCGGATTGACACTTTTTGTAGTTGTCTTGTAACATTACCTTCGCGAATCTATCAAACCAAGCTCGAGGTGATTGTTTTAGACCATATAAGGATTTCAGGAATTTACATACTCGGTTATTTCCAGAATAAATTCCTGGTAGAACTTGCATATAGACCTCTTCTTCAAGATTGCCATTGAGAAAGGCATTTTTTACATTTAGTTGGTGAATTATCCAATCCTTGTTCATTGCCAAGGATAATAGAATTCGAACAGTCTAGAGTTTTGCAACTGGAGCAAAGGTCCCCTAATAGTCAACTCCATAAGTCTGAGTGAGCCCTTTTGCCACAAGTCTAGCCTTATATCTATCAATTTTTCCATCTTCCTTGAATTTCACAGTAAAGACCCATTTGGAGCCGACTGGTTTCTTGTCTTTAGGTAGATCAACAATGACCCATGTTTTGTTGTTTCTTCAACTACCTTCTTCCATGAAGGACTTTTTAATGCCTTGGTCTCTAGAATGTGAATATGATCAACATGAGCTGTGAAAGTCTTAAAACCATACATTAGTTTCCCATAAGCAACAAATTTACTAATAGGATGAGTTGTACATCATCTAACTCCATTTCTTTGAGCAATTGGTAACTCACTAGTATCAATTACCACATCCAACTTACTTTGGTTACTATTTCCTTTATCTGTCGATGGATTTAAAACCTATTCGGGCTCTTGACAATGCATTGGTTATGGTGTGGAAGGTAGGGTTTGTTTGGTTCTTCTTTTGTAGATGATAATATCCGTAGATGGTCTAGGAGTTTTATGATAGTTGATGAGATTAATGGATTAGTTTTCGTTATCAGATGTGGTGGTGTTAGGATGTTGTAGAGTGGTAGTTTTTTTCAATAAAAGATGGAATGATGGGTAACTCAGTAATAATTAGTAAAAAATGAAATTCAGACTCACTCTCCCCCTGGATTTCCGTTTTTTTATATGAACAATTTATATTCTTGAAAAGTGACATCCATAGATGTGAAGAACCATTTTCTAGAAGGATAGTATCAACGATAACCTTTCTGATGGGATGAATAACCAACAAAGACACACTGAATTGCTCGAAGATCAAGTTTAGATTTATGAGAATTGTGGTCATGGACAAAAGAAGTACAACCAAAGACACGAAGAGGATTAGAAGAGGTAAAAGGTTTGAAGTGAGGAAATTTAGTGGAAAGGATATCCCGTGGACACTTAAAGGAAAGAATTTTACTAGGTAAATGATTGATTAGAAAAGTAGATGTTAAGAGAGCCTCACCCTAAAGGTATTTCAGAACATTATAAGAAAAATGAGTGCTCGGGTTACCTCAAGAAGATGACAGTTTTTACGTTCGGTGACCCCATTTAGTTGTTGAGTGTCAACACATGAATTGAAGTAGACTATTCCATTTTCCTGGAAAAAGGATCCCAATGACTAAGAGATGTATTCCCCACCATTATCAGATTTAAGGATGCCAATGGAACTTTGGAATTGTGTTTCAGTCATTTTGTGGAATCATTTGAAGATTGTACAAGACTCAGATTTGTCCTTCATAAGAAAGGTCCAAGCGGTACAAGAGTGGTCGTCAATAAAAGTAATAAACCAACGAATTCCATGTAAACCCGTAACCTAGAAAGATCCCCAAAATGTCACTATAAATTAAGGAAAAAAGTTTAGGCGCGTGAGAGGGAGAATGAGGATAAGAACTTTTGCAAGAGAGCAAATGTCCAAGAAAATGAAGCGGGATTTTTATTAATAAATAATTTGGGAAACAATTTTGTAACATAATAAAAACTTGGGTAACCTAACCTAAAATGCCATAACACAATGTCGGCAGCTGCATCTGTGGGAGAAACTGAAACAAAAAAAAAAGAGATAAATGGTGCAGGTGAGTGGTTGGGAACGAAAGTATAAGGAGGAGCGTCAAGGATGTAGAGTCCACCATGACGCCTAGTATTGCCAATCACTATCCCCGAGGTCAAATCTTGAAATTCACAATAATCACGAGTAAAATGAGAAGTACAACCCAAATTGGTAGATAATTTGCTAATCGAAAGAATATTACAAGTCAAACTTGGAACAAATAGAACATTAGACAAAGTAATGTGGCTGTCGTAACTGGTATTTGCCCGGGCACGAAATATTTACTTGGCGGAAAAACTAAAATGAATAAATTATTTTGATTTAAAAAAATGTTTTGGGAGTTGCCATTGAGCTTTTTTAGGTAGGTAGGTCAAATACCTACAATCTTTTAAAATAGTTTTTAAGAAAACATAATTTAAAAGATAAACTGATCTGCGTATAACAAAAAATATTTTTAGTAAAGAAGGGATTTGTGGTCGATTACGTTTAGGGAAGGATTATCACCCCTTTAACGCCCAAAATTTGTACTCATTAATTATAAATTGTCTCTATTATTGGAAATTTAAAAATTTAAATTTAAGAAATATATAATAGTATATATATATATATATAATAAGATATTTATTTACTTAGAAATATCAAAAAAAGACTTCTAGGTGCTTTAAGATAGTCCATTTCTTAATATTAAAAAAATAAATAAATATAATAAAAAATATATTTAATTCATAATCCTGTTATTTCAAATTATTAGTATAATTTTAAGAAATATATATATATATATATATATATATATAAATAAGATATTTATTTACTTAGAAATATCAAAAAAAGACTTCTAGGTGCTTTAAGATAGTCCATTTCTTAATATTAAAAAATAAATAAATATTAATAAAACATTTCTCTAAAAATAATTAATATATAATTTATAAAAATAGGATATTTATTTATTTAAGAATATCAGGAAAAAAACTTCTAGGTGCTTTTAGACAGCCCATTTCTTAATATTAAAAAATAAATAAATATTAAAATATGATTATTTTTTTTTTAAGTAATTTATATAAAATTAAATTTATAAATAGAATTTTATTTAATATATAAAAAAATAAGTAAATAATATTATTTATATATATGTTTATATGA